TCAATAAATAAATATAAAAAGGAAGTATTGAAGTATTGCCCTCCCGTTGATCGTCGATTTGCTCGAGCGGGCCCAGTAACGTCTCCATTGGAGACTTTGTTGTTACTGTGTCTGGCATATCGAATACTCTCGGTAGCTTGCCGGGCTCTCCGAGAGGGGCGGAGGAATCGAACTCGGGTCGGCCATGTTGGCTGCTTGTAAGGCGAACGCCCTACCGCTGTGCTATCGCTCCAGCCCAATAAATAAATAAAGATGGAGTTCATGCCCAATTCAATCAGCTAATCAGTGGCTGAATACATAGCAGTACTCCTACGAAAAAAGAAAAAAGAGTCTTGGAGTGGAGACAGAGGCTCACATTTTCATCCCTGCATCCTGGGGTTGGGTGACACCCCCTTCACCCCGCGTAGGACCTGGGGGGAAGGAGACGGGCTGAGCTCTGGGAGGCTCATATCCCCCTCTAGTACTCACGGGCCCAACAGCCGGGAATGGCGGCATCGGGGACCAGCCCCTCACCCTGGGGCGACTCCCCGCTCCTGCCTTTCATTACGTCTGTAATTCTGTTTTATGATTTCCCACTGCAAAGCTGTGAAATGAAAACGATGCAATCCACTGCTGTGAAAAGTGTCGAGTGCGGTCCCTTTCCAATCCGCCCTGAGCTCAGTGCTGTGACGGCTTCATTAAATTAGGCGGCTGCGTGGAGAATGGAAAAGCTCTGGATTGGGCTAATCTGACCGGCTGCCGGAAACCACAGATCACCTGGGAGTTGTGTGTGTGTGTGTGTGTGTGTGTGTGTGTGTGCGTGTGCGTGTGTGTATGTGTGTGTGTGTATGTGTGTGTGTATGGGGCAGCGGAGGGCTTCGTGCCAGGGAGGAAGAGGCCCTTCACCTAGTGGGCAACATTCCCAGAGGCCACGTCACCTGCCCCAGGTCACCCCACACCTGCTCTGTGCTTCTCTGGCGGTTAGAGGTTGCCCCAGGTGTTGGCAAGAGCCAGGGAGCAAAGAGTTCAGAGCATGTGCCCTCCTGGGGCTGTGTGTGCAATTAGGGGCACAAGGAGATGTGGGTAGACCCCCCCTGGTCAAAGGGGAGCCAGTCTGAGCTCGGGGGGCGGGTGCCGAGATGCTAATGCAGCCGGGAGGCAAGGGCCGCCATCGACCTGCGTCTCATCAGCCCCCAGAGTTTCGAGAACAGATTCTCTCTCTCGCCGGGCTCGTCTGCGGTATTAAAGATTTCCATTACTGATAGTTCTTTCCAGTTAGCACTTTCGGTATTAAACTCTGTCATGATGAAGTAAAATATGCATGATCTCGAAATCTATGTGTATGATAACGAGATTTCATTGTTGGGAATTTGTCTTCTCGTCCTCCATTTCTGCCTGGGCTCTCCTTTGAACACCCGTCTAGCTGTAGCCAGGAGGTAATTAGAAAGTGGCACTAAAGAATCCCAGGCTTATGCTTACACGCGGTCACAGAAATTTATTGAGTGTCTACGCTATGAGACAGTCATGTCCTCCCCCCCACCCGACTGGTGGGAAAGACAGCGGTGATAACTAATTACAGCGCCGGGGAAATTGGTCTGAAGTGACATGGAAACCCTCTTCCATGCACGCAGAAAAATATTGCATTTAATACCAGAGCCAATTTGAAATCTCAGCTGCCTGTGAAGGCAAAGGAGGGATTTCAGATTCCATAAACGAGTGGGGATTGGAGGCAGAGTGGTGAGTGAGACGTCGTGAAGCCTGAGACGTGTAATCAGGGCTGACTTTCAACACCCTGGCAGAGGCAGACAGGAGCACCGAGGCCTCGTGGACACCAGAACCAAAAGATTCTACAGAGAGTTGGGTGCTTCAAAGGGGCCGGTCTGCCCCATGCCCTGTGGAAACAGGAGCAGGATGAGCATTTGGGCGAGGAAAGAGGGTCTGGGAGAGTCTGCATCACACCACGCTGTGCCACTCAGACACGGGGTCAGGATTCTCTCCCTGTCCTGAGCGCAGCTGGCAGAACACTGGTTTAGCAAAGCTTAACCCTCCCCTCTGTGCTCAGGGTCTGAGGCATCCAAGAGGACACAGTAGCTGCCGGGGGTGAGCTCATGTGGAGAAATCACAGTGCTTGAAAGGAAGAAACTGTCAAGAGGCATCGGGGGGTCAGGATGGCACCAACCTGGTGGGCTCGGGGAGCCCAGGATTTTCTCCAGCCTCCTCGCTGCCTGTCCTCTCTAGGCCCACTGTGCTGATTCTCTCGTTCATCTAGAACCTAGGCACAAACGCCCCTCACTTAATTCCCAACTGAGAAGAAGTGGGGAAGCCCACATTCCCGTAGATGCCCCCTGGCCAGGACCCCCCATGGTCAGGACCACTCCAGGCCAGGGATTCCCCACACTCGGGCAAGGGGGTTCATTCTTGAGAGCCATTAAACAACCAGACAGGTCACTTAAAGAGACTGATTATCATTAGACTAATTTTGGCTTTCAGCCGTAACTTGGATCCTGAGTCTGAACTCCTGCGGGTCCCTACAATGCGGCATTCAGACTCAGATCCGAGGGCACTAAGACCAGTTCAGCACCAGTCAGGACAGCCTACGGCACGGCAAAGCTCTGCTACGCTGACTCCTGTTGAATGCAGGGTGCAGGTGATCCAGATGGGGTGGCCCCTGTCCATTAGAATGAGGTTGGACTCAGTACCAACGAACTAGACTGGGTCCCTCTGCCATCAGACTAGTGTGGGTCCCTCTGCCATCAGACTAGTGTGGGTCCCTCTGCCACCAGACTAGTGTGGGTCCCTCTGCCACCAGACTAGTGTGGGTCCCTCTGCCATCAGACTAGTGTGGGTCCCTCTGCCACCAGACTAGTGTGGGTCCCTCTGCCATCAGACTTGTGTGGGTCCCTCTGCCACCAGACTTGTGTGGGTCCCTCTGCCATCAAACTAGTGTGGTTCACTGTGCCATCAGACTAGTGTGGTTCACTGTGTCATCAGACTAGAGTGGCTCCCAAACCCTCAGACTGTCGCAGGACTGTCCCTCTGTTTGGGGTGACCCCTGTTCCAGCAGGCATGGTCCCTCGGCACACACCTGGTGGAGGAGGGCCCTGAGTCCTCCACGCAGCAGACCCTCCTCTCCTTGACTGCTAACTTGCACTCTCACCCAGGAGGCCTTAAGCACACGTGGCTCCCACGTGGTCCTCCAGCGGCCTGTGGCCTCTACTGACCCACACCCTGCGTCACGCCCGTGGAGTGGGGTCTTTCAGGGTAAGAGGAGGCCGGGTGTGGCCAGCTGCCCACTCTACCACACGGGAAGTGGCTGGGAGACAGGGTGTGCTTCCTGGCCCAAGGCTGGTGCTCTGGTCCTCGTTCCCAGGGCCCAGGGCTGCGACTTGCAGGGTGAAAGGACAGCTCGAGGGTCTGGGTGATCAGGTCAGGATTCAGCTCTGTGTGCTGGAGCGCAGGCCAGGGAGGGGAGGGGAGGCTGGGGCCCACCATGAGGGCAGGGCTGGGAGGAGGTGGGAACTGCAGCGGGGACACAGGCGAGGCCGAGTCCGTCCCAGCTCTGCAGGATACCACTCACCTCTCTCCCTGCTCCCTTCGGGTGCAGTAACTCCCCGCAATTCGCAGGCAGCTCTTGGGGGGGGTCTCCCCAGCCCTGGCTGTGCCCTCGTCCCCCCAGAATGGCTCCCACCAAGACATCAAGTCATGAGCAAGAAGGGAATGGGGTCTGCCAAGCGCCCCCCCACGCCAAGCCCATCCTGCCCTTCCCACCCATGGGGGCAGCCTCCAGTTGTGGGTTTAACACTGCCCTGCCCTGCAGTTCTGTGGTTTGGGGGGAGGGACTCCATTTGGAGGACAGTCGTGACTGTGGTGAGCGGATTCTGAAGTGGCCCTGGGGACCCAGCTTTTGCCGCTGGGTGTCCGGTGGGGTGCTTGCTCTGCAGTGGACCAGGCCCTGGGACTTGCTTCTGGAGAGCCAAAGTGGTGATTGTGATGGGGAACACATGGTGGCTCTGTGACGGAGCACCCATCCTGCAGGTACTCACATCCCCTGGGCCCCCCTGACGCTGTGGTTGGGCTGGGGAGACCCCAGTTGCCGGAATCCAGGGCAGCCCCTGCCCCGACCCGCTCCCTGCGAGGACCAGGATCTGGTCACCAAGCCCTGGGAGCTGGCAGCCGACTGTGTCCCTGCGATGGCCAATGTCCTGACCATGGTCCCCTCAGCAGCATACGCCTGAGTGGGGGCCGCTTTTTTCCGCTGCTAACCCAGGGGTGGCTTGTTCTCCCCCAGCAACCGCACCCCACATGGCCGTGAGGGACGCAGGGGACAGACAGGCTGAGCAGGCGACTTCCAGGGGATAAAGGACAGTTTTTCCCTGTGACTGCAGTAAGACGGACTCTCGCAGGCCTGGTCCCCGGGTCATGAGGTCAGAAAGTCTCTCTGGGGTACCCAGAGATGTCTCGAGTACAGAGGGGGTCAGGCGGACACAGAGAACCTGCTCCCAGACCTGGACTTATGGAGGGTCACTTCCCGGGAGAGACAGACCTCAGATTTTCAGTTGAGATCCGGGTCTGATTCTGTTTGCACAGCCTATGGGCGGTGGCCCAGAGTGACAGCCCTGTCCCAGCTGTGTCTCTGACCCTCTGCACCCACTGCCAACCCACTGAGCCACTCGGAAAGAATCCAGGGCACGGGGAAAACTCAAGAGCCACCTTTATTGGCGTCCACAAAAGCTCCTGTCACCTGGAGGGTCAGCCCTGGTGCAGAGGGGTCGGGGACACTTTCCCCTCTGGCCTCTCGTGGGACGGAGGAAAATGTCCTCCCGCCCGTCCCTTCCGGCTCCTGGTGCGCCTGGGGGAAGGCGGGCCAGGACAGGAACTGGACAGTGCTGACAGCAGGCAGGGCTCCAGGATCCCGCTGGGGTCGACACCTTTGTCTCCGTGCTCTAGTGCTCCTGTCCGGGGGTTGTCCCACTGCCCGCTCAGAGGCTTGGTGGGGGCGGCATCTGCAGTGTCTGCTGGGGGTGCCCCGAGGGGGACCCTCAGGAGCTGCCCGTGTCCCAGTGCTGGCTCAGGACCGAGGTCTCGCACGGGTTGACCACCACTTCCCGGTTGTGCTCCGAGGCCAGGGGGTCGGTGTCCAGGCACAGCTGGGAAGCCTTGTTCTCCAGGTGGGAGCCCGACTTGGTCCATTGCTGGGGAGATGGAGGGAGGAGGGAGGAGGGAGGGAGGGAAGGAGAGAGAGAAAGAGAAAGAGAAAGAGAGAGAGAGAGAGAGAGAGAGAGAGAGAGAGAGAGAGAGAGAGATGAGCCCGGCTCTAGTGTAGCACGTCTGAGGCTGTCACCGAGACATCACAGGCACCAAGGGGACAGAATTGCACTGAGATGCTCTGCCAGGTAGTGTGTGTGTGTGTGTGTGTGTATGTGTGTGTGTGTGTGTGTGTGTGTATGCGCGCACGTGTGTGTAAGTGGGATAAAAATAAAATAAAAACGTAAAAGCCAAATCAGTATGTTTGCTGGAAACACTCATCAGGTGGCAATAATTTTCCAAGCATCAGGCCAAGAATGTGGGACAAGTCGGTCATACGTACCTCAATCATGGCCAGCACTTGTCTCTCCCCTACTCAGCACCCAGCAGCTGGGAGAGTGCTTCCAGTGTCCTCCCCTGCCTGCCTCCCAGGACAAAAGCAGTGACAGAGTCCACCTCAGCAAGGTGCTCTAAAGGGCCAGGCCAGCTGCACCCGTCAGGGAGCTGCCTCGATTTGCTTCTCGGTGATGGAGAGAAGCTCAGAGAGGGTTGTTCACTTGCCCTGGGCCACACAGCCTGACAGGCACTAAACCCATACTTGAACCTGGGTTTCCAGGCCAGTGCTGGTGAGCCAACGCCTGCGGGCACTGCCCTAGGCCCACCTGGGCGTCTGCCCGAGGCCCTGCCGCAGGATCCCAGGAGGGCGGGAGCAAGGCTGGCCAGCTCAGGACCAGCATGCAGGTGTCCACAGCTGCTGACCATGGCCAACGCCAACTGGATGAGGCCAGAGACGGCCTCAGATGCCCCCTCTCCCCGCGGGGCCCCTGCACCTACCTGCCTGTCGTCGCCCGTCCTGCAGAGCTGCAGCAGCACGGGGGCGCCGGGGAAGAGGCCGACGACCGTCAGACACAGGCTGTCCTGCAGGATCTGGTGGGTGTAGGTGAAGGCCCAGATCTGCAGGAGGAGCACGGGGCGGGGCGGGGGGGGCAGCATCAGGAGGCTTCTCGGAGTCAGCATTCGGCAGTGCACCCTGGACCCCCTGCCTGGTTTGGGGCTCTGGGTGGGGGTGGTCCTCGCAGGCATGAGCATCTCTGGGACAATGCCATGCACAGACACGGAGTCACACCTCCATCCCCACAGAAATTTCTGCCCCGGCTGTCCTCCAAGGTCAGGCCTGAGGAGGGGAAAGGGTCAGGCAGGGCCGCAGAGGCTCCGGCCGCCCCTTAGACAGGCCCTTGATATGGAAAATAGGCTGCGGGTCCAGTCCCGGCGTGGAAAGGAGATGGGGTTCATGCTGCACCTCATTACCCAGCCCCACGGTCTGCAGTGAACCGTGGACGTGCATCTTAGAATGAAGTCCCGTAATGAGCTCATGATGGCCACGACACAGTGCGCTGCCTCTCGGATGTGAAGAGCATCAACTGATCAAACATGGGAGCTGGGAGGGCTCCCGGTCTGGGCAAGCTCAGTCGGGCATTCCTCTTTTAAGAGAAGGGGCTGAGGGTGGACACGTGTGGGCGTGTGTGCGTATGTAGGTATGTGTGCATGCGAGTACATGTGTGCATGTGTGTGCATATGTAGGTGTGTGCATGTGTGTGTGTGCATTGTAAGTATGGGTGCATGCTTGTATGTGTGTGTGCATGTGTAGATGTGTGCATGTGTGCATGTGTAGGTGTGTTGTGCATGTGTAAGTATGGGTGCATGCTTGCATGTGTGTGTGTGCATGTGTGAATGTGTGTGTATGTGCATGAAGGGGCAGAGTTCTTCTGATAAGAGCTGCCTGCTCACTCCGCTTCCCGAAAGACGATGGACAGGCAACTCTTTGTCAGAACCCTGAGAAGAACTCCTCATGGGAAGGACCATGCTCCTCCCCGCCCCACCCCAGGGAAAGCTGAGCAGGGATGGAAGCCCCTGCATTAAGGAGACATTCATTAGCTGTGCTTTCCCGGCATGGAAATCATTCACCATTTCCCGGAGGAGGACCTGGTGCTCTGGCCTCCTGCGGAGAGGGGAGGAAGGGGGGGGATCGGAGAGCCCTGGGCTGGGGCAGAAGCACGCAGGGGGTATTGGCTTTCCCCCTGCGGCCTTGATGAATGGTTGATTCAAGAAATCTGGGCGTCCAAATGCACTCCGGAAGCAGAGGGGCCTGCTCAGGCCAGCCTGACCTCTGCTCCGGAGTGCTGGAAATTGCGGCAGCCTCCATTGGGGAACGGCAAAGACAGTCCCCAGCCCCAGTGCATGCAGACACAGCCGGAACCACAGGAGGTAATCCAGAGGCCTTCCTGAGGGCAGTGCGGACCGCTTAGAACTGGCTTGGCTCTCCTGGCTGAAGGCCTCTGAGCAGGCAGTCCAGGGGCTCCTTCGGTAGGACCCGGTGAGACTCACTTCTGAGGTCCTGCATTTCTAGCTCCTTCCGTCCGTGCCTCCATGTTGTGAGGACACGCTTAAGTATGTGACTACAACCCCCACTGTCTGACATTCGGGGCTGGACTTGGTGGGGTCCTGGTCATGCGCACTCCTGAACCTTGCAAACTGGAATGAGGCATTTAACTTTGCACCTGGGGCCCCGGTGTGATAAGTGAAAGTTCTGGAGGGCGGGGCCCCGTCAGACCCTACGGGTAAGACCTCCAGGTTGACAGCTTCAGCATGGACCAGCAAGGAGCTTCCTGAAGGGTGGGAAGGACAGGGCAGGAGTAGGAAGGTAGGTAAGTGGGTTGGGACTAGCAGACAGAGGGGACAGGTGAGGAGTGGGCTGGCTGGGGGCGGGGACAGGGCTGTGACCAGAGCTGCAGGACACCGTAGCCTGAGTCTCCTTTCAGTTCTGAGGACGCCTGAGTGTCCGCCCCACCTGGGGAGGGCCATTGGGCTGCAGAACGCAGGGCTGCTGGGACCCAGCTCGGAGCCACTTCCTTTGGCTTTTTCTTTTTTAGAAAATGAAAGAAAGTGTGACTGTCTTTATGTTCAGGACATGCAAGGAAGACTGATTTTGCACGAGCAACTCAGGAGAGCTGCTCCGAGGGAAAGGTGTGTGGAGTTTGGAAAGAGCTCCTCTAAGTGTGGGAGTGGGTATTCCCCGGCAGGCCCTGCTGCCCAGGAAAAGCGGCCTCGGGTGGGTGGAGCTCTCTCCCACACTGGGGCTGACATTACCTTCGGCAGCAGGCATGGGATTCTGGGAACTGTCTAAGTCGCTGATGTGCTTTCAGTCCAGGGCGCGGGGAGATAGCACAGCGGGGAAGGAGCTTGCCTGGCATGCAGCAGACCCCAGTTTGAGCCCTGTCATCACTCAGGGTCCCCCGAGTATCGCCAAGAGTGATCTCTGAGCACAGAGTCAAAAATAAGTCCCGAGCACCACAGGGCGTGACCTCCAAACAAAACCAAAGATCCCTAATCCATCGAAAAGCCCAAGTGGACATCAGCGGGGTGGGACCCTGGACCCCCACCTTCCTGGGCTGATCTCAGCCCTGTGCACATGGCCATCCCGCCTGTCCATGGCCTACCTTCCTCGCTGGCCCCAGCAGTGCCTTTGGAGACCCTTGCTTCGAGCTGGGATCTACCAGCCAAGCCCCCATTCAATGAGTCCTCTGGTCAGTTCCTGCCCCTTCCCTGAGCCAGGAGAGTGGGGGGGCAGGACAGGGCCGAGTTGGGCAGGGAAGGGTGTCCAGCGCTGGAGGGAAAGGTCTGGACAGGAGATCCAGGTGCAAAACTCAGCTGCATACCAGCTTCAGGGCACTCGTACCCTCCCCGCCTGAGGTCAAAACCCACCTGCTCCCTTGGGAAGGGATGGGACGTGCCCCCACACATCCCCCCGCCAACCCCAAGCTGTTCTTCCTCTCCCGGGTGGCCAGGACCCCTCCTTGTCTCCCCCGCCTCCCCCCCCCACACACCCTTGCTCAGCACCTTCCGGGGCACCCCCTTTCCCAGGCACAGAAGGAAGCTAAGCTGGCCGACTTGCTCATTTCGGCACGAGTGATCTTGGGCGGAAACCTTGAAGCCTTCACCCCCGCCTTTCCTCTCTCCCCCAGCGAGCACGGCGGGGCATCAACACCAGTTGACAGAATGAATGAATGAATGAATGAATGAACGCAATCCTAAATGAAGATCCTAGATGAAGACACAGTCCCTCAAACAGAGGTGGCCGTCCTTGCTGGGGACAGGGAACCATCTTCAGGAGCAGCGTGAGGGTGAGAGAACCTCTGAGAACATTCCTTGGAGGTGAGGGCTGGGGGGTGGGGGGAGCGAGTGAGTAAGCAGGCAGAAAGCATAGGACCTGCTGCCTGCAGGGAAGGGGGAGTCCGAGGGCCCAACAGAGCTGGACTGGCCGGCAGAGCAGCCGTCTCCAGCGTGGAGGACGGTGACCTGCCATCTACAGGGTGTGAGGTGCCAGAAGACCTTCTGAGGAGGTTCTCGTGGTTCGCCCAGATCTGGGATAGGCAGAGAGAGGTCAGAGAACAGGCTGTGCGGACAGAGAGGGGACAGACAGGGGTCCTGACTGGTTCAGGGCAGTGGATGGAGGTGCTGGGTGACCCCTGGGGCCAGGCTACTTGTGTGTGTGTGTGTGTGTGTGTGTGTGTGTGTGTGTGTGTGTGATCTGTTGATCTCTCGCCCTGTTGACCCTGTGGAGGCCGGGTTCATCTCTCACCTGGGCCTTGGCGTCCTGGCCTGGGGTCTGGATGCAGGGGCTCAGCCGGAGGTCAGGCAGCTGCTGGCCGTCCTGCATCTGGGCCTCTAGGCATTTCTGCCTCTGCCGGATAAGGCCCTTCTGGATGGAGGCGTCAGTGGGCACCCTGGATGAGAGCCACAGGAGACATAAGCCAGTGCCCCCGGGGCTGGTGCCACTGGTGGCAGAGGCAGGGGGTCGGTTGGGCAGGGGTGGCGAGGTGGCCGGAGCTGGTGTTTTGGACCAACCGGCTGAGTGACCATGACCTGCAACTGACCTGCACAGATGCAGCCTGGGGGAGGCGAGTGGCCCCGGTGAGGACCTCCAGGCCCTCCCCTCACAGCACTGGGCAGGACTGCGGTAGCTCAGTCCGAGGGTCTGTGCCCCTCCCCCTCCTCCTCCTCCCGGTCCGTCCAGGGCAGCTGCTGTCACACAAGTACCTGAGCTCAGGGTAGACGTTCTCCAGGTACCACTTAAAGGAACTGCAGCGCAGATTCCTGCGTAAGTCAACTCTGCTCTCGATGCTGCGGCAAGAGACAAAACACAGCTGGGGCAAGGCCAGAAGCGCCAAGACCCCCGTGGTCTTTGGATCGGCCTGAAAGGAACCAACCTGGACAGAGCGTGAGCCCCGCAGACCGAACCCGGGAAACCCAGGAACCCTGCCCACGCCACCACCACCACGCAGTGGGCTGGCTTTAACTTGAAAATGGAATTTGGGGAACTCTCCTTTCCATTAAAAATGAAACACTGAGCATGGGACTAATAATTCATTGCTGGGGGTCTGGGGTTCTTGGCCACTAATGTTGTTTGGGTTCTGCAGTTGAGATGCCCCCCAATTGTCCTCCACCCCCAGGAATGCGCCCCTTGGGGCCGCACATGGAGCCCGGGCAGGTGGGGCTCTTCCGATGTTTACTGAGCACCCACTGCGTGCCACAGGACGGGAGATGGCGGGAGCTTGCAAGCATCTGAGACAGGAAGGAGACGAGTGATGGCGGCCCTTGGTGGGTATGGGGGCTCACAGGGGCTGGGCGGGCACCTTGGCTGTGCACCTGCCCTTGCTCGTCAGGTTGGTGGCGGGCAGGGAGGGGCAGCTGCAGCTGGTGCCTGGAAGGAAAAGTAGATGCGATGCAGACCTGTGATGCTCAGCCAGTATGGTCCCATACGGCCCCCGGGACATCCAAGGGGCCACAGGGGGAAACCGGGGAATTGCGGGGGAGGGCACAGGAAGGAAAGGGGCAGGGCTGGAAAAAATTGCGCTAGACCAATCAGAAAGGGGGTTCCCAGCAGAGGCGGGGGGCCATCCCAGGGGAGAGTATGTGTGTGGGGACAGCCCAGGGCTGAGTGTATGTGTTTGTGTGTGTGTGGGGGCAGGCCAGGGGCTGAGTGTGTGTGTGGGGGGACAGCCCAGGGTGATTGTGTGTGTGGGGACAGCCTAGGGGTGAGTGTGTGGAGACAGCCCAGGGACTGAGTGTGTGTTTGTGGGGACAGCCCAGAGGGTCAGTGTGTGTGTGGGTGGGGGGCAGCCCAGAGGCTGAGTGCGTGTGTGTGCGTGTGGAGACAGTCCAGGGGATGAATGTGTGTGGGGGGACGTGCCGGGGCTGAGAAGAGTCGTTCGTCACAGCAACCTAGCAGGGAGCTGAAGTGTGAAGGAGCACTGTGGGCCTGTGCTTGAGCATCTGTGCATGTGTATCCGTGACTCCATGTGTGTTGCATGAGTGCATGTCACAAATCTGTGCACACACAACACAACACACAAATGCATGCACACGTACGTGAGACTATGTGTGTGTGTGGGAGTATGTGAGAGCACTGTGTGTGCATGTGTGTCTGGGGCTCTGTGAGCACAAGTGTGGCCCTGAGTGCACATGAATACGCATATACATTTCTGTGTAGACACGTATGTGTGCATGTTTCGTAAGTGTATATACATGTGTGAGAATGTGTATGCGTGTGCATATGTGTGAGCCTGGTTAAATGCACGAGTGTGTACATGTGTGTATGAATGTGAGGACTTACATGTGTATGCAGGAGTGCTTGAGCCTGGGTGTATTGTGGTTGTATGCAGCTCACAATATGTGTTGTATTGTGACTGCACACACGTGAGTGTGGGTGTGTGTGTGTGTGTATGTACAACATGCTTAAGTCCACACATTTGTCCATGCATGAGCATATATGAGCACACACATGTGTGCCCATAAGCTTGTGCATGTGAATGTATAAATGTGTGTACATGGATGCGTGAGTGTCAGGGCATGTGCTTATGTACGAACGGTATATAAGGGCACACATGCATGACCATAAGCATGTGTGAGTGCCCACATGTGTACCCATGACTGCGCATAAGTGTATGTGTGTGTGTGTGAGTCTGTGCGAGCATGCACAGGTGCGTATATAATGTATCTGTGTATGTGTGTATTTGAGTGCATGTGTGCATGGGTGTGCGTGTGCGTGTGTGCAGTGACCATGTGGGAGAACTGCAGCGTGAGAGATGAAGACGCAGACAGGAGAGAGTCGGAGAGTTTGGGCATGGAGGAGCGATGGTGGCTGACTCATGTTCTCACAGTGTGTGGGTCTCAGGCCAGGCTGCCGGCAGGAGGCAGAGACCCGGTGCTGGAGGTATTTTCAGGTGGGCAGAAAGAGAGGCGGGGCAGGTCTGCATGTCCCCAGCTGCCCGGGTGCCAGAGCCCAGCCCAGCCCCGCTCGGCCCATTCCTCCTACTCCCCTCACAGATGTGTGGCCCAACCCCCTCAGGACTCCGGAATCGGCATCGAGCACAGCTCCTCACCCACGCCCAGGCCCTGGGAACAGGAAGGATGTCCCATGACGCCATAGGTGACATCACTCTGCCAAATGCAGGCTGTGCGGGGGACGGGACCCAAGGGTGTGAATGAGGTCCTTCCCCCAGAGCTGGTGCATGTCCAGACACAGGCAGCAGAGGGGGTGCTGTCTTCCTGCCTCTCCTGGGTACCCGTGGAGCTGACTGCAGGGCTGAGGGAGGAGGGTGCGCTCAGGATGGGCAGAGCAGGAGCAACCCAGAGCCTGGAGATGCCCTGCAGTGCTGCAGGGTGGCAGCCCGGAGGAGTGGCCGGAGTCCGAGGGGTAACGGGGAGGGGAGGCCTCCAAGGGAGTGGGCTGCAGGGGAGGGGCAGAACCCCCCTCACAGCCAGCGGCTGCCTCTGGAAAGCTGGGCATGGGGCCGGTGTGAGCACCACGGGGAGCACAGCTGTGACGGGAAAGAGTGTTTTCTGGTTTCCATCCCGGTTCTCCAGGCTTGGGTGCTGATGGGGACCTTGCAGTGGAGATTGGCCATCATGAGGAGGAAGGGGTCACGTGGTTCCCCAGGGACGAAACCAACTCCCCAAGGGAGGGGCACTCCCAAGGGGGAAGGTTCTTGCCTGGCTTGTGGCTGATGTGGGTTTGATCCGGGTTTGACCCCTGGGCACTGTGTGACCAGACCAGGCTGTTCCGCGGGGGGGGGGGGGGGGGGGGGAGGGGAGAGGACAGTGCGCCCTGAGCCCACCCCATGGGGCACTTACTTCCCAAATGGCTTCTCCACGGCGAAGGGCCGGGCCGCGTAGTAGTACTGTTTGTACTCGTCCATCCACACTTCTGCTGTCCGCTTTGTGTTCCTGGGGGTGTCGGGAGGGGTCTCACAGGAGGCCTCCAGTTCAAACACAGTTCCCGGGGAGGGGGACACCTCCAGCCAGCAACACCACCCTTCCGAGGCGACAAAGCCCCGGGTCACCCCCACACGAGCACCCAAAGGGGCCTGTACCCCCAAGATCTTAACGCTGATGACAAGTTCTTCCCCCATAGGAAAAAAAACCCAGAAGTTAGAGCAGAAAGAAAGGGAGCTTCAGAAGCTCTCTCTCAAAAACAAACAATTAGACCCTCTAAATCACCCCCAAACAAAGAACCAGGAGGCGGTGGTGGACTGTATCCTCAGATAGCTGGAAGGTGAAGGAGTGCACACGGGGGGGGGGTCTCCACACACACACATGGCCCCCGGCCCCCGATGTAGGGTACGAGAATTAAGCCACCCAGCCTTGGCCAGCCGTGGCCACTCAGTGCTTTGTGACCATTTTAATGGGATGTTGCAAAGGCAGGCAGAGAGCAGGAGCCTGGAGCACCCACAATTACAGGCGGGTCCCCAGGAAAGCCAACGAGAACATGCCCTGTCACGTGGAGCATCACAGGCCAGGAGGGACAGCACCTATGTAAGGAACCCTTGGGTCCCGTTTCAAAGGGCGTCCTCCCCCCCCCCCCACCCCACAGTATGCTACTGTTTGCAGCAGAAGCCCCAAGAGAGAAGAGAGAGAGAGAAAGAGAGAGAGAGGAGAGAGAAGAGAAAGAGAGAAGAGAGAGAAGAAAGAGGGAGAGAGAGAGGAGAGAGACAGGAGAGGGAGAGAGAGAAGAGAGAGGAAATTGAGAAGGAGAGAGAGAGAGGAGAGTGGAGAGAGAGAGAAGGAGAGAAGAGAGAAGAGAGAGGAAAGAGAGAGAAAGAGAGAGAGAGAGAGAAAGCACAAGGATCTAGAATGAGCAAGGCCCCTATGAGACCCGGGAAACGGGCCCACGTTTCTATGCCCCCCAGAGCCTGAGGCCCACAGGTGGCAGGCGGGAGGCTCACAGGGCCAAGATGCAAAGACTGGAATGTTCTGGAGCCTCAGGCTCCACCCTCGCTCCCAGGAGCAGGGGTGGGGGGTGCGCTGTGATGCCAGGACACAGCCTCCCTGGACCCTCTCACTTTCCCTTGTCAGAGCCCGGAGGGAGGGAGGGGCTTCGTGCTCGCATCTGCTGCAGTTTCCACTCCGTGGCCTGCTGGGGGCCTCTGTCTCCCCCCAATCCCCCCGCAATGCTGTGTCCACTTTCTCAACCCTCAGAGCCGTTCCTCTCCTGGGGGACAGAGCACACAAGGAGACCCCAAGAGAAGGAGACCCCCAAAAAGGCGCTTTGCTCCCCTTCCCCAGGAGACCCAGCTGATAGGGACAGGGGCTGAGACCAGGAGCGAGCGTGAGGGTCAGAGAAAAGGGGAGTGGCAGGAGAAAAGGATGAGGAGGGGTCACAGGAATTTTCTGGAAAGGGGAGAGTGAAGGGTGAGGGGAGGTAGTGTGAGAATGGGGAGGGGGGCTGGGAGGGGGAATGAAGGGTCCCAGGGTCCCTGCCCCTCTGCCCTGCCCTGGACAGGAGAGGCGAGTCCTGGGGAGAGCAGTTGGGCTAGTAGTTCTCCTCGAACCCAGGTCAAGTGGCCTTCCCTGGCGCAGCCCAGGAGTACCCCAACCCCCGAGCCCAGCCCTGGGACCAGAACCTCCTGAGACCACAGCTTGTCCTCTGGAGAAGCAAGTCACGCAGTGACCGAGGGGGCACCGGGCCCCCTGCGGGCCCCCTGGGACCCCGTCGCGCACTCACTTGATGTAGGTGTTGGTGTTCCCGTCCGGGAAGTCGTAGGGGTGCTTCTTGCGGAAGACGTGTCCCACTCGGCTGCAGGGCACGATCTCCATGCTGCCCCCACACATCCACGTGCGGAACGAGAGCTCTACAAGACAGGGGCCCGGGGAGGGGGCAGCTTTGGGGCGCCAGGTCCACTGAAGCCAGGATGCTCTGCCTCAGTTTCCTCACCTGTCACTGAGAACAGGAAGCACTCAGCCCCGGGAGAGTGGAGTCTGAGAATGAGGGAATAGAGGTTCACCCCCTAGATTGTACCCCCCGTGGAGGGACATTCGGGGGTCACCCGGGGTTTGGGACCAGGAGGTCCTCTGAGATATGTCTTCCTGGAAGTGGGAGGTGGGGAGAAAAAAAAAGCTGTCTCAGCCTTTGGGAAGATGCTACCCTGGAGCCCAGGAGAACAGACGAGAACTTCCTGATGGCCCCAGTCCAGACGCCAAGGGCAGGGGTGTCCATGCCCCGACAGGCGGGCAGATGCACAGTCGGGATGCCACAGACAGGCCTGCGTTCCTGTGATCCCTAGATGAGGCAGCTGGGTCCCACTGGGCGACAGCCCACCTGTCTGTGGGTCCCGGAGCAGAGCCTGGGGAAGGGACCTGGCGGAGCACAGAGCTGGGGGCTCAGCTTTGTTCCAATTCACGTGGTGCGTACATGAAGGTAATTTCTTCTTCTTAACCTTGCCCTGGTCCCCACTAGCCCCCACCCCCTGCCCCTCACAGAACCATAAAGCTGGGGGCACAAAGATTCTGACTCCCTGATGCACAGGCCTGTCAGAGGGACGCGTCTCTTCTAGCTGCTGGCACACAGTCCCTGCTTCCCATGTCTGTCCCCCGCCTCCTGCAGGCAGCCCTCCGTGTGGGGGCACAGCTGGGGGAGGGAGGTTGCGGGGAGCACCTGCCCTGACCGACACTGCTGACCTCCAGGGCAGTAGACCAGACCCGGGCACCCGCAGTCTCTGCCCAGGTCTCTGGGAAAGTCCTGGACTCTAAGGTCATGGGCGGTTGACACCCTAAAGTGCCCCAGAAACACAAGGCCGAGGGGCTGCCAGGGGTGCTTCCATGTCACCGCTTCCTCAAGCGAAGGGGAAGGAGTCAAAAGCCCCAGCATGGAGCTTAGGGTTTGGGGCTTCTGCAGTCTCCTTGCTCACCCAGGAAGTCCATGAATTCTGAGAGCCACATGCCAGCCACCCTGTCACCGCTCCCTGGTGAGAGCCGTGCCCCTTCCCGGCACAGAGCCAGGCTATACACATCCAACTGACGAACAGTCAAGAACTGCAGCTGCCAGGAAGGGGCAAACAGCGCTTCTCGGGAGATGAGAGTGGGCCGCATGGCTCACCTGGGGGGTACAAAAAACCTGGGGGTGGGCTGTAAAGCATCCCTCTCACACCCCCCCTGGCTTAACCCCCTACCTGTAAAACACCAAATGAGAATGCACCTGCCACAGAGGTGGGAGGCGGGGTGATGGGGTAGTGGGAGGGAGACTGGGACCATTGGTGGTGGAGAATGGGCACTGGTGGAGGGAGGGGTACTGGATCATTGTATGACTGAAACGTGAGCATGAAAGTTTGTAAGTCTATAACTGCACCTCACGGTGATTCATTAAAAAACATATTTTAAAAAATATTTAATTAAAAAACACCAAATGACACAGAACCTGAAATGAGATGGCCCCTTGATTTGCAAGCCGATGTCCACCAAAGGCCCATGTGTTGGGGTTGGAGGAGCAAGGGCAGGGGGCATACAGCTCCTAAGCAGAGCACACGCCTGACAGGCACTAACCCCTGGCTCTGTCCCTAACACTGCATGGCCTCCCAGTGTGTGTGTGGTGGCCCCCAGGCCCTGACACATGAGCAGAGCAGGCAGTGCTGCAGGTTGGGCCCCAACAGGACTCTTCTAAGCAATGCGCAGCCGAGTGCCCAGGTGGCTGCAGACAGAGTGTTTTCAGTCACCCGACAGGGAGAGTCTTATGGACAGAGCACGCTGGGGGGTGGGGGGCATGTCACACCCTACCGAGATGAGGGATTCCTCAACCCAGGAGCCCAAAAACAGAGGGGTGGGTTATGGAGGTGTGCATAGACACAACGGAATAGTGAATTATGGAGGTGTGATATAGACACAATGGAATAGTGAGTTATGGAAGTGTGGTATATAGACACAATGGAATAGTGAATTATGGAGCTGTTGTATCTAGACACAACAGAATAGTGAGTTATGGAGGTGTGGTACACAGACAGTAATAGTGAATTATGAGGTGTGGTATACAAAAAAAATGAAGTATGAATTATGAAGTTGTGGTACACAGACACAGTGGAGTAGGAAATTACGAAGGTATGATATATGAACATTATGGAATACTACGCAGCCACAAAGAAGGATGAAATCTTGCATTTAGCTGCAATTTAGGTGTTGCTAGAGGCTATGTTAAGTGAAGTAAATCAGAAGAAGGACAAGAACCAGATGGTCCTGCTTATCTGTGACATATAGAAGGATAGCAGGGGAGTAGAACGCAAGGCGTCAATCAAGGGGAGCATACCCAGCTGGCCACTGACCCTAGATCACAGAGTGTGGATAACAGGGGAGGGAAGAAACAGAGCGGATAGTAAGAAGAGATGAACTGGAGGGAACAGGGAGGGTCAGTCAGTGGCCCAGGCACACTGGGGGTGTAGAGTGTAGGATACATGCACATCTAAACTGAAGACTCAACAAGAAGATCCAAACCACTACCACCAACTTAAAATGTGTCCGTCGAAGGGGCAGGCTTCAGGGTAGAGGGGAACTGATTCTGGTGGTAAGATCAGTGCTGGAACATTGTGGGCATGAAGCTCAACTCTGAACAACTCTGCAAATGACTTAATAGTTCATAAAAATATATATCGTCACAGGGAGCTTGCCAGGCTCTGCCGCACGGGCAAGATGCTCTCGGTAGCTTGCCGGGCTCTCCGAGAGGAGCAGAAGAATCGAACCTGGGTTGGCCGGGCTGGTTGCGTGCAAGGCAAACTCCCTACCGCTGTGCACTAGCTGGTACAGTGGTAGGGTGTTTGCCTTGCGTGCAGCTAGCCCGGCTGAGGTGGGTTCGATTCCTCTGCCCCTCTTGGAGAGCCCGGCAAGCTACCAAGAGTATCTCGCCCTCACAGCAAAGCCTGGCAAGCTACCCGTGACATATTCAATATGCCAAACACAGTAACAACAAGTCTCACAATGGAGATGTTACTGGGCCCGCTCGAGCAAATCGATGAATAACGGGAGGACAATATTGCAATAAATATTGCAAAAATATATATTAAAAATGACACCCCCTAATCCCCCGCCCCGGATTCCACCAATGGGAGAAGCCCCAGCACAACACGGGTCCCCAGGGTACAGGAAGTTCAGAGCATGGATGATTCTGCCCCCAAAGTGATCTCTGTTCCCTCTCCCCGGCAATTCCTGGGCTCCAAGTTCCCCCTCTACCTGTGCTGGTGCAGGCAGACCTGCCCTCAGCCCACCCCAAGAACCTATTCTAGGTCCTGGTCTTGGGATGGGGGCTGGTCTGGCGGCTGCATACTGGGGGTTTGGGCATCTCGGCCCTCGAGGCAGGAGCTGGGCTCTGCTGATGGATTTCTGGACACGGCCCAGTTGGGGAGGACTGATGCTGTGGGTCAGGCCTACAGCCATAAATTTCCAGGAAATAACTCTCAGTGATTGAGGAAGAAAGCCATAAACACTCAGGAGGAGAGATGGAGGGAACAGCCACAGCGGAGAACCATGCCCTGAGTCTGGTCAGGGAGAGTACCCACATGTGCCCTAGGGGACAGAGGGTGGGCTGTGTCTATGCACCCCCGCCCCCCCACACACTGTGATTTAGCCAACACCCAGCCTTCCTGGGTAGTGGGGTCTGAGCACCCCAGTCCCTGCCCTGGAGCCCAGATTCTACTCTGAGTCACTCCTGCTGCAGGAAGGGAAGGAATCAGCCGCCCCCGGTGCCCAGATGGTGACTGGGCGTCCTGGGTCCAGGCATGCCAGCAGCTGGATGGAAAGGCAGGTGGTCTGTGCTTTCTCTGAAGCTGCCAACCTCAGCCACGCTGGGCAGCTGGGCCCTCTCTGTTGGCACGGACCTGGATCTGTAACTCAGGCTCTGCTCTCTGTCCAGAAATCACAGACCTGGGTGGGGGGGCTGAAGCTTGACCTCACATCCTACTCATGAACCCAGTGCTCATGCTGGGTGCAAGAAGCAGCGACAGGGCCTGGAGAAATAGCACAGCGGGTAGGGCGTTTACTTTGCACGCAGCCGACCTGGGTTCAATTCCCGGCATCCCATATGGTCCCTTGAGCACCGCCAGGAGTAACTCTTGAGTGCAGAGCCAGAAGTAACCCCTGTGCATCGCCGGGTATGACCCAAAAAAGCAAAAAAATAAAATAAAAAAATAAAAAGGGAAAGAAATGTGGGCTGCTTGAGTCTTGGGAATAAATTTAAAAAAACAAACAAACAAACAAAAAGAAGTATGACAAATGTTCCCGGGACACTCAGTTCTCTTCCCGCTCCTCCGCACCCCTATACTCTCTCCAACCCTACCCGAGTGCCAGCCTGTCCCGAGGCCGGGGAGACACTTCCTCTTGCATCTTCCTGGCGGTGCCTCTTGATTCTCCTCTGGATTCTCCATGGAAGTGAATCCCCCTCTTCCTTCCTGCCCACCCCCGCCCCCCACCACCGCTGCTGCCCGGTGGCCTTCCCCATGCCATGCATGCAATGCAGCCCAGCAAAGGGACCCCGGGGACTCACCGAAGTTCTCCCCGCCCCAGATGTCCATGTCCATGTCATACTTCCCCAAGAACGCGAACCAGTTCCTGTCCACCACGAAGAGCCCCCCAGCAATGACGGGGGTCCTGTGCATTCGAAAGGGAGAGGAAAATGTCACTGAGCACAGGGGGCCGATGTTAAGCCAAGGACTCCCCCTGCAGAACCACTAAAGGGTGCACATTCTTGCAGCATCAGCATATTTGGGCCCACTGGTCCTGGACCTCCTGATCTGGTGGACACAGACCCATGCACCCAGGCAGCACCTCACAACTCACTCAGAACCCCACTCTTTGAGGCTCCACTTACATCTACCAAAATGGGTTGTTAGGTACCTTAAAAATATGTAGTTCTACCCCATTCCTCTCCCCCCACCCCGAATCCTACAATGTGCCCTTGTAGGGAGCTAGGGTCTTCATCAAGATAATAAAGTGGAAGTAGAGACACTCCCCCCCCCCCCCAAGCCAAGATGACAGCTATCTTCTGAAAAAAAAAAGAGAAAGAGAGAAATCTAGGGCCAAGAGATGATTTCCCAGGCCGAGCTCAGGCTTTGCATGTGGGAGAAGCAGGTTCCATGCTCTGCGCTCAGAATCAGGAACACTGCTGGATGGGGCCCCGAACAGCCACAACAGAAGCAAAATAGAAAGGGGAAAGCTAGAAACACTGCCCTCAGAACAACACGGGATGTGGAGGGGGTGCCCAGCGGCCCAGGACAGTGGGGAAGGCAAGGTGTGGAGTGAGAATTCAACATGGACTCAAGCAAAGGAACAGGTTGAACCCAACGCTCTAACCCTCAGGCTCTATGGAAACTGCTGGTGATTGGAGAAAAGGCGGCAGGTGGGACAGTGACAATTTGCCCTCCACACGCATAAGCAAATTATATCGTGAACATCAAAATAAAGGGGAGTTTTAATCGTTGATGTCAAGAGAGGGGTGCGGCAGGGTGATACCATTTCACCAAAACTCTTCAGTGCCACCCTCGAGAACATCATGCGACGACTGGAATGGGAAGGAATGGGAGTGAAGATAGATGGTCGGCAACTACACCACCTCCGCTTTGCTGATGACATCGTTTTAATAACACCAAACATCAGCCAAGCGGCACAAATGCTGGCCGACTTTGACCGTGAGTGTGGAAAGGTAGGACTACAGCTGAATCTTACGAAGACAATGTTTATGAGAAACAGCCTTGTTCCTGACGCCCCATTCGCTCTCAATGGAACGACCATCTCCGAATGCAACAGCTATGTGTACCTAGGTCGAGAGGTCAACATGACAAATGACCTGGCACCCGAGCTGCGCAGGAGGAAGAGAGCGGCTTGGAACGCCTTCAAGAACGTCGAAGAAATAGCTAAGAGGACGAAGAACCTCCGGCTCCGGGCACATCTCTTTGATTCCACTGTTCTTCCTGCATTAACATATGCCTCAGAGACCTGGGCCCTACGCAAACAAGATGAGAACGCCATTCAGGTCTCCCAAAGAAGAATAGAAAGAGCTATGCTTGGAATATCACGTTTCACTCAAATGAGAGAACGAATCCGGAGTTCTGACATCCGTCGACGATCAAGGATCAGGGACGCTGTCTCATATGCCAAGGTGTCGAAAATCAGATGGGCTGGTCACGTAATGAGATTTAAAGACGACCGTTGGACTAGAGCTGTTACTGATTGGATTCCACGGGATGTCAAGAGACCGCGTGGCCGCCCACCTACCAGATGGTCAGACTTCTTTGTCAAGATCATGAACGATCGGTTTGAGGCCCTCCATGTTCCCGGAGCGAAGAGATGCCATTGGGCTACACTAGCACGCGACAGGGACAAATGGAGACGTTACTGGCGCCCGCTCGAGCAAATCGCCGACTAACGGGAAGTTAAGTGATTAAGTGATTTAATTTTCTTCTAAAAGGGAAATCCAGGGGCTGGAGTGATAGCAGCAGGTAGGGTGTTTGCCTTGCATGCGACTGACCCGGGTTCGATTCCCAGCATCCCATATGGTCCCCTGAGCACCGCCAGGAGTAATTCCTGAGTGTAGAGCCAGGAGTTACCCCTGAGCATTGCTGGGTGTGACCCAAAAAGAAAAAAAAAGGGAAAAAAAAAAGGAAATCCAGGGGCCAGGAGACAGCATGAGGAGGTGACCCAGCACGTTACTAGCAGTTTGATCCCTGTCACCACATGGTCCCCCGGGCACTGCTGGGTGCAGCCTTGGGTCCCCCCAGTACTGGCCCTTGCACCAAGCTGGACCCAGATGGCTGAGAATCACTGGTCAGGCCAGAATCACTGCGTGCTGCTTTGGAGGTTCAAAAAGGGGATAGATCTAGCATGAACATGCAGAGGCGGGTGGTGAGGAGAGAGAGAGAGAGAGAGAGAGAGAGAGAGAGAGAGAGAGAGAGAGAGAGAGAGAGAGAGAGAGAGAGAGAGACGTGCTACCACCCTGCAGGGCGGAAACCAGCCCTGTTCACACCTCCAGCCTCCAGAACCGTGTCAGGACTCGCGCCAGACACTTCCCAGCCCCTTGAAGATCCTGACCCGGCTACCTCTGAGTCCCCGTGGGGACTGGCTGGAAGGACACAGCCCAGGGCTGTATGGAGGAGGCGGCTGGGGGCTCAGGCGACCTCCTGCCCCCGTGTAAACAGAGCAGTGGGCCGACTGCAGCCCAGCGACTCAGAGACCCTGCCTGAAGCCACAACCACCTCTCACCCCACCGGTTGAAGGCTGCAGAAGGCCCCGGCCCTGAAGGTGGAAACCTCCTTAATCTGCCCAACGTGGAGCTGGCGGGAGACTGGGACATGGTCCAAGTGGTCAGAGCATGTGTCCTGCCTGGGGGAGCCCAGGAGTTCCATCCGGGCACTGAGAAACCCCTCCATGGCCAGGGTGAACCGAGGCCTGAGTGCATCTCCCTGCAACAAGCAGAGCTTGAAAACAACAACAGCCGGGGCTGGCTTGGCAGAGCCGTCTCAGGTCCCACAATTCCAGGGGCGTCTTCCCTGGCAGGGGGCAGCACTGGCTAGGGATGGGTCCCGGCTCTGCCCCGACTTACCTAATGGGCTCAGTGGGGTTCAGGCGCCGAGCCTTCTGCTCTGGGGACAGCTGCTCCCACTGGAAGTGGAGGCTCCAGTCGAACCCTGGAACACAGCACACGGAGCAGGACCCTGGGCTCATGGGCTCAAGGCATGTCCCCACAGGACGTCCACTCTCCCTGTCCACCCTCCTCCCGCCTCTCCGGGCCTGGGGATGGGGGGTCAGGGGGCGAAGTAGGGAGGGACAATCAGATGGGATGGGACCCCAGGGTGGGGGCAGGATGGATGGCTGGGCAGGGTGGCCCTTGGCCAGGAGCCCCAGAGAGAGAATCAGAGGGGTTCTGGGAGGCTGAATCACTGGGGGTCACTCAGCAAAGGGTGCTGGGGAGTCCAGCCAGCACCCACTGCTGGGTCCAGCACACCCACCCACACCCTGACTTCCGCTTCCGTGGGTCAGGGTTCCCCCCAGAGCGACTGGCCCTGCACAGTGGCCCCCAGCAGGGAGGAGGCTGGCTCGTGGGGCAGGTCACTCACCTCCCCGGAGCTCCGAGGCAGACTCAATGTAGCTGAAGGTGTCCAGGTTGATGATGTCGATGACAGGGCACACCACCCGCCTGCTGTCCTGGGGTCACAGACGCCCGCACTCAGAGCAGCCGGGTCACCCCAGAACCTGCCCGTGCACCCCCCGTCCCCCACTCTCTCCTTCGTGTCCTGCCTCTGGTCTCTGCCCGGGACCCCGGGAGGAGGAGACACGTCTGGAGAACCCCAGACTGCCCGCCCCCGAAAGGGCATGCGAGGAGACGAGGGCTTTGGAGGATCTCACCCCCAGGAGACTGGGCACAGTCAGCGAGGAACCACAAATAGACGTTTCGAAGCCAAGCCCGCCCTCGCCCGCAGGTGGGACCACCCAGCTTTTCCACTCACTTTCACCTCGGACCCAGGAGCCCAGGTAAGTGGATGAGGAGCACCTGTGCGGTCAGCTGTCCCCCAGACCCCTGACTTCAGTGTCCCCCAGCCCCTGACCTCTGCTGTCCCCCAGCCCCTGACCTGAGCTGTCCCCCAGCCCCTGACCTCAGCTGTCCCCTAGTCCCTGACCTCAGCTGTCCCCTAGTCCCTGACCTCAGCTGTCCCTCAGTCCCTGACCTCAGCTGTCCCCCAGTCCCTGACCTCAGCTGTCCCCCAGTCCCTGACCTCTGCTGTCCCCCAGTCCCTGACCTCAGCTGTCCTCCAGTCCCTGACCTCTGCTGTCCTTCAGTCCCTGACCTCAGCTATCCCCCAGTCCCTGAGTTCAGAGTTCCCTAGACCCTGAATTCACTGTCCCTGGTCCCTGACCTCTGCTGTTACCCAGTTCCTGAGCTCAGCTGTCCCTGAGTCCCTGACCTCAGCTGTCCCCCAGTTCCTGACCTCTGCTGTCCCCCAGTTCCTGAGCTCAGCTGTCCCCCAGTTCCCGCACTTTGCTGTTGCCAGGTCCCTAAGCTCAGCTGTCCCCACCGACAAACCTTCACATCTACACCTGCAGCTCGACCTTGTCTCACTCCTGGTGCCACCATCGCTGTCAAGATTCTCCACGCCTCAGCCCCCTCCCTGCAAAGTGCTCCCTTCCCTTCCCTCAGCTCCCCACTCCTGCTGACAGAAGCCTCGCACCCCGCCCCCACACGCTGCCGTAGAAGCTTCACCTCCGCCCACCACCCAGCTGGCATCCTGCCAATCCTGAGGGGGTTTGTTTGAGCATTTCCCGCCCCTGCCCGGCCACCTGCCTGCAGACCAGGAGGGGCTCCAAGCCACCACCCCACAGCTCTGGTTCATACCCCCTGCCCACCGTGTGTGGCAACCAGGACCACTGGGAAGTTGGTAGGAACTTTTAAAAAAATTATTATTATTATTTTTTTTGCCTTTTGAGTCACACCCAGCGATGCCCAGGAGTTATTCCTGACTCTGAACTCAGGGATTACTCCTGGTGGTGCTCGGAGGACCAAATGGGATGCTGGGGATCGAACCTGGGTTGGCTGCGTGCAAAGCAAATGCCCTACTATCGCTCCAGCCCCTGTAAGAACTTTTAAGCCTGTGGGCCCCCATGGGTGATCTGAGAAGCCATGCTTGGGCACCCACAGCAAGTAGAAGCCCAGTGGCTGGGGTCCCGAGGATCTGTTGACCCTGGCAGCAGCCTCTACTCCTTCTCTGGGGCGTGGGCAAGGTCCTCTTTACTCTGGAGCCATTTAAATCCTGACTTCAATCTCCCCCAGAGCCTTTGACTTTAGCTCAGACCCACCAATGGTCTAGTTGCTCCAGCCCACGGTTTATTTCATGACTCGTCCCTCCTTTGTGACATGATGAGGAACTTGGAGGGCCACGTGGAATAAAACTTCCTATCTGGCATCTCCACAGCCCACGTGGCACCAGTCCCCACGGCCATTCCTGGGGCTGCTCTGGGATGGGGGTCACAGCCCTCCTTCACAAACATACCCAAGACCACGGGCCCTTTATTCTAAACTGTTCTCCGAAGTTCGGAGACTAAACTTTGTGGGTTGTGCAAAGTCCTCGCTCTGCCTCTTTGTTGAGTATGGTGGGTAGGTTGGTAGGGGTCAGGGGGCTCTGCATCCCCCATTAAGACCTGTTGTGTTGGAAGCATACCTGGGCCCAGGGGTTCTTGCTCCATGCCTGCTCCCAGGAAGAATGTCAGGGGATCAGATTTTGGGAGCTTGGTCTACACCACAAGCCTATGGTGGCCATATGCTCTAGAGGCGGGCCATGCATCTCTGGGAAGGTCTGTGAGGGGTCACCACATCTGAGACTGCCCTCCAGGGATACACCACCCACCATGCCCCAGAGGGTGGGACTTCCTGTCTGGCAGCCATCTGCCTGGGATGGCAGGTAGGTGGTGGAGAGGCAGGGGGCTCCCCTCTCCTTCCAGTGACCCATGGACTCTCAGGGTGGTCTTGGAACCTTCCATCACCTCAGTCGCAGTCCTGTTTTATTTTCACCTATCCTCAAGATTTGGAAGCTCAAATGCAAAGACATTGATAGTTGCTAAATGGTGGCTTCTCCTGGGCACCAGGGTAGACTCCCTGGGTTGGGCTTGCCCTGAGGTGTTCTGTCCTTTGGTGTGGAAGGTGGGGGGTGGATCACTGCCCAGTGTCTCGGGGCACAACATCTGCTTGTTCTCCAGCCCTCGGCCCATTGCAGACTCTGAAACAGGTCGGCTACTTCCTGTCCATGGCCAGCAGCAGAGCAAGGGTGGCCGTCACGGCTGATGCTCCCTCCGGGAGGCTCAGGGCAGGGGCGCCCACTGTCTCCTTACTAGGGAGGCTCCTCACCTGGACAGAGTTAGGCCCATCGGAGATCACACCCCCTCCCCCCCCCACCCCAAATCCAAGCAGGAATCCCCCAGCCCACTCTTGCGCGGGACCAATGACAGAGGCTGAACCAGGAAAAGGGACTGTGAACCCAGCAGGGACAGTCTGGGTGCCTGCCTCTTCCTTCTCCAACCCAAACAGTTCCTGCCACCCTGCAGGGCCCACGCGGTGCCAGTGTTAGGGCCAGGGTGCGATTGTCCGGGCAGTGCATGGCGCCTAAGTATGGCCCCGGGAGGCCCTTGTGTCCACTCAGCACTGCCCAGTGGCCTCCTCACTAAAGTCGAATAAAGTAGCGTGAGGAGCAGTAAACGGAGACGGTCCCAGTGTTGTGCGTCCTGGTTCCTGAGTGGCGCAGAGGTGGGCAGACGAAGCTCTCTAGTGGGGGGGTGGATGGGCGAGTGGGGGCTTCGAGCAGGAGGGGAAGGGGGGTGGGAGGAGACACTGGGGTCCTCTGGCTCTGCCATCGAGGACATCTGCGCCTTCAAGTCAACGTGCGCCTTCCGAGGAGCCGTTTTCATGCAGTCAAGGTGTGGTCCTTGGCCAAGTCCCACCCCCCAAAAATAAGTAAAACAGGGCATCCGGAAGGAGCCTCCAGGAAGGCAGGCGAAAAGTCAGGACGCGTCAGCAAGCCAATTTCCCACGTCCATTTCTACCCAGTAAACGCTACTGGGACTTCTTCACATGGTCCGAGAAATATCTTAGAGATGCTCTTAAAAGTCTGGGCACTGGTGGAGGGATGGGTATTTGATCATTGTATAATTGAAACCCAAGCACAAAATTTGTAAGTCTACAACTGTACCTCACAGTGTCTCACTAATAAAAAAAATAAAAGTCTTTCCTACTAAAGGAGCATGTAAATCAGGAGGGATAAAAGCTGCCTGTGCTTAAACCAACCAACCAACCAACCAACCAACCAAGGCCGGCCCGGTGCTGATTTCAAGGCTTCCCACAGAATTGCAGGGACGAGGAGGGAAGCACGGAGGATGTTTTCCATGTGGAAAACACCAGATGCCGACACAGGCCCAGCCTGCCTCATCTTTCTATTTTGAAACCCTGCCCCCCCCGCCCCCCCCCCCACCCCACACGCACGTGTACGCATACACACACACACTTTCTCTCTCTCTCTCTCTCTCTCTCTCCAATGATAGCACCCACGTTTTACTCTGACACAAGATACATCTGAGCACACGTGGAGAGTGGGACTCACACCTGCCTCTCACACCCACGGCTCAACCTGCAGCCCTGACCCTGCGTGGGTCAGCGGAACACTGGTGCACTCAGCTCACACTGACGGCTCTTCAGGGAGGTGGGGGACAGTTTTTGGTGTGCAGAGTTGGAGCGTGGCCAACAGCAGCACCCACAGGGGACTGAGATGGGGGTTCCTGGATCTGAGATCTGTGGAGGGCAAAGGGGGTAGAACAAAGCCCTTTCCAAGGGGGCCATCTGAGCCGGACTCAAAACCAGGGCAGAGGGAAGACTGTTCTAGGGAAGACTCCTTTGAGGACACAGTCAGTCTGGGGGGTCCGTCCAGGTCAGAACACCCCCCCCCACACACACACACACACCAGGCTTCAGCAATTCTGTTTCCTGGCACACCCAGCTGAGAGCTGAAGGCAGGGCGGGACTCAGGAAAATGGAGCGTTGGGTTCACCATAGAAGGGCAGAGCTGCTCTCATCGGCAGGAGAGCAGGGTGCTTGGGGCACCCTGGAAAACGGTCTTTCACTTCAAGAGGGGTAATAGACCCTGAGAAGGAGACCCAGCAGGCTCTGGAGTAATGTCAGCATCGAGGCAGTAAGGAATTTAGGCCTCTCTACCCAGTCACTAATTCTGCTGCTTCCTTTTTTTCCAAAAGGCATTCCTAGGGACTCTCTCTCTTTTCTTTTCTTTTTTCTTTTTTTTGGGGGGGGGGGTCATACCTGGCGATGCTCAGGGGTTACTCCTGGCTTTGCACTCAGGAATCACGCCTAGTGGGGGATGATATGGAATGCTGGGAATCGAACCCGGGTCAGCTGTGTGCAAGGCAAAAGCCCTGCCCGCTGTGCTATTGCTCCAGTCCCTCCTCGGGACTGGAACTTTCTACCATCTGGTAGAAAGCGTTCTGGACAGTTCTCTCTGGGGATAGCCAGGTCAGGTCCCCACTGGGCCCACTGCTATTTCCAGGGTGCCCTGGCCAGGCTGTGCCCCCTCAGGTCTCACTTTCTTTTTTTTTTTCCCCCGCTTTTTGGGTCACACCTAGTGATGCACAGGGTTACTCCTGGCTTTGCACTTAGGAATCACTCCTGGCGGTGCTTCGGGGACCATATGGGATGCTGGGAATCGAACCCGGGTTGGCTGTGTACAAGGCCAATGCCCTACCCGCCGTGCTATCTATCTCTCCAGCCCCAGCTCTCGCATTCTGAACCGGGGCTACGTTGATCTCTCTGTTTGGAGAAACCGGGGAAGTAGCCACGGGGAGGAAGGTGGGTATGTGGCCGAGTTGGGGATGGGGGAACCAGGCCTCCTGGGCCTCACTCACCTCCTGGACCCTGTGCAGGAGCGGCTGCAGCCAGTTCCTGTTCACTTCACAGTGACTGTCCAGGAAGGTCAGCGTGCTGCCCTTGGCCACATCTGTGCCCCGGACCCGGGACCGGACCAGACCTGCAGGAGGTACACAGGGCCAAGTGTTGGGATGCTGAGTGTCCTGCATCCCCCTCACGCCCAAACACACCCAAAGGCACACACACCCCAATGACCCCCCCCCCCCCCACACACACACACACACTATCAAGGCTCCTGGCAAGGGGCCTACCTTGCCGCTGGCTGTTGCGTAAGCACTTGACCTTGGGGAGTTTCATGAGCTCTTTGCAGTCGTCCGCTGCAAAGACAAAAGGGCCCTGAGTGTAGCTGGGTGGGGAGGGACCCACTTGCCACCCAGCATGCTGCCGCGTCCTGGCCTGACCCCAGAGAGCTTCAGAAGGGGCTCCAGCACTGAGAAGTGCCCACATGGCCTTGTCCCTCCACAGGGCCTCAAGCCACACAGTGGCACCTGCAAGCTTAAAGGACGGGGACTGGCGATGGTCATGTGGGGCCCCGGAACATGCAAGAGCAACTTCAGAGCTGCGTTTCCCATCCTGGATGCTCCACCTTGAATCTCTAGGGCACCTCCTGCCCCACAGGGAGCATCGGGTCTGAGGGGCCCCGGGTACCCCCCTGGCCTGCCTCCTCCTCCCGGTCACTCAGGCTGCTTGGTTGCTCTGCTTGTGTGTCCCAACTCTCCTGCCTCTGCCTGTCTCTGGGCTCCGGACTCTCGGGGACAGCCACACCACCTGGAGACTTCCCCTGGGGCCGTGCCACGCACCGGGAACCAGCTCCCATGTTAAAACCCGCATGTGATCCGCTGGTTCTCTCCACTGATGCTCAAGGACCCTGAGGTGCACCTGCCCGGGCCCGTGCCTTGAGGAAAGGGCAGGGGCAGGGCTTGAGGGCAGGTGGCCTCAGAAGCCACTTGGCATCTGCTCCCCAGGACACCAGCTGCCGAGGACCTCTGTCCCAGCCCGGCTCCCTCTCCCCTTTCTACGTCTTCTTGGCCCCTGAAGAAGGGAACCCAAACTCCAGAGTCAAGCTCTGAGTGAGTGGACACAGGACATAGCCCACCATGTGGCTGCCCCCCCAGGAGTGATGTCCTGACAATGCCCGCTGACCCCACAGTGTTCCTGGCTCCTGCCCAAGTGGCAGGAGACTCACTCTGAGCAACCTCGCCCGGGTTTGACAGGAAGTGTCTCAACCGAGGCTGATCCAGGGAGGAGGTGTGGTCCCTAGCATTCCCCGGACCTGACAATGGCTGACAATGCCCAGATGGCCACGCAGATATCGTCCACGGGTTATGGGCTTAAGTGCAGCTCTGGGTGGCACCCACATTCCTGGATGGTGCAGGAGCAGTGAGGTCCCCAGGTGGGAAGTGGCTCCTCCTCCCATGGCCCAGTGCTGGTCTGGCCCAACTGGGGCTCACTGGGGAGGCCGGGTGAGGTGGCTTATCCTCAAGGGGCTGGGTGTCACAGTACCCCCGAGCCACAAGCACCAGTCACTCCCTACACTGGGTTCTGAGCCTCTGCAGCTGCTGAGTCCTTCCCTGGATCAAGAACTCAGTCAGAGGGTGGTGGCATGCACCCTCCACCATCACAGGGCTTCTCCATGCCCCTCGCAAAGTCTCTGCAGACTCGCAGTGCAGAACCCTCAGGGTGGTTTGTCGGGCCCAGGGTTATGCCCGACTTGAAGCCTGACTCCCCACGAGCTCCTCCGGGACCTTCAGACCTCAGCCTCTTGGCCCTCTCCATGTCCCCCAGAAAGGAGGCGGCTCCAGCCCCCGAAAACCAGGCCCACCCGCCCGCCTTCTCGGGGAAACAGGCTGAGGCTCTGCGGCACTCACGGTCCTTGCTGAAGTCATCCACGAGTATGATCTCCTCAATCAGCTTCGCGGGGGTTCGGTTCAGGATGCTGAGATGGATACAGGAAAGAAGCTGGTTCTTGCTGGCACTGGGCGGGCAGCACCCGGACCTGCCCAACACCAGAGCTGTGTCCTGGGAGGGGGGCACCTCGGCCTTCTCTCAGCGGATGCCACTCACCTCCCTCTCGACAGATTCCCGGCATCACACTTGACCCACCCTACAGCTTCCCCAAGCCCCACCTCTGACCAGTGAGCGCGGCCAGAAGCTTCCCCACGCCCCCGGCACTCAGCTCACCTTTTCTCTCCTGCCACGTGGGCTGGAGCCCAGGCCCTGGCCCTGCGCCGAGCGCTCTCCGACATCGTCAGCCCTGGCCTGGACTCGCCTCCCAAGGTAAATCAGTAAGCTGACAAAGCCCCCTCCCCACCTCCCCGAAGGTCTCCACTTTTCGATGCCAAGGTAGCTCACAGCTTGCCCTGGTCCATTCAGACCCTGCTTTTGGGGTGCTAGGAACTAAGGGCAACTGAGTCAAGAAAGCAGATGTCTAGGAGTAAATATTATTTGGAGTCAATCAACTCCCAAGTTATAAAGCATAATGTTCACTGTCTTCCTGTGTCCATACAGAAAGGACATTGCTTTAAGGTAAACTGTGCAAAAGACATGAGGAGAGGAGAAAGGCAATATTAATTAACTTATAATACAAGTTCAGTGCCCTGGGATGGGTGTGACCTGATAAACGTAAGCTACCCGAGGAAGGACAAAACAGGGTTATCCTACAACCACTAACTACCACTGTCCGCACTATCATAGAAGCCCCCGTGCCCACGGCCGTTACCAGCTCCTTGCGAACATCCATCCTCTCCTTCATAATGCAGAACTTTCCGTGGCTGCCCGACTCTACAGGCCTGTCCACATGCAAGGCCATGTCCTCCCTGGGGTCTGGGGGCTTCCGGTGCTGGCAATGCCATGTGCCTCTGAGGCTGTCTGTCCTGCCCCTCAGCTGGCCAGATCTGGGCCCCCCTGTGGAGGCTGGACTCAGCCTGTAGCACCCCTCCAGGCCAGGCTCATTGCTGGGTGAGAACCACACCCTGGGGAAGGAAGCCCCAGGAGGTAGAAGACTGCGCAGCTGCGGGCTGGGTGCAGTTTGCGATAGCTGTGTGATCTTGAGCAAGTGGCGAAGCCTCTCTGTGCAGTCAAAGTCCCTTCTGGTGGGGATCCCTGATTGCAGCCCCTTCCCCGTGAGGGAGAAGGCCTGGAGGAAACTCATCTAAACCATTTTGCACCATGTCGGCTCGGCCCCAGCTTCCCTCACTGCAGGAAGTTCCTTTTTTTTTTATAGCATAATTGTATTTTATTTATTGTTTTGGGGAGACCACACCCAACAGTGCTCAGGGGTTTCTCCTGGCTCCTCAGGAATTACTTCTGATGTTGTTTCGGGGACCATCTTGGTGCAGGAAGTTGTTGACCCAATCAATGGCCCTCCGTCTTCTCCAGAAGTCCAGGCGCGGAGGTGGGGGGCTTCCACGCTCACGCTGGGTCCCAGACCTTCCCCAGGTGGCCACGACTCCCTTTTCCTGAACAATCCAAACTGCAGGGTGCCTCCCAGACAGCCTGGGCCACACCACCCCGGGACACCCCGAGCCCTGAAAATATTCAGGGATGCCAGTGGGCCTGAGGAGAGCGTTCCTTTCAGAGGAGCGTTCTCTCCGTGCTTCTGGGGTCCCAGGACGCAGGGCACAGACTCCTGCAATGGGACCTGGCTCTCACCATGAAACTCGGGGAGGGTGGAGAAGGGTCCTGAGCCCACTGTTCGGGGGGGGGAGCGTGGCTGGGCAGGCAGGAGTGGGTCCCAAGACAGACAGCGTTGGCAGGCACTCCGGGGGGAGAAGGCGGGGTTGGTGTGAGAGAGCGCGGGAAGAATACCCGCTAATGAGGTTTGATTGGGGCCCCTGCGTCTGCCTGCGATTTCCCCCAAATCCCTGCCGGCGCTTTGAAATTCAAGCCTTCTCTTCTGTGAACATCAAAAGGTAAATCGTGTGCAGCTCGGTAGCTGCGGCTGAACTGAGAGATGATTAGCGAATATAGAAAAAAAATTTTTTTTTTCCCCTGGGTTTCAAAAAAGGAAGAAGAGAAATCGTCAGCAGTAAGTGCTAATTACTGCGTTTCCCGGAACACCTGCTTGTTGGGCGGCTCCTTGAGAGTCCTGGGGCCCCGGGGGTTCGGGGGGCTCCATCTGGGGTTCTGGGGGGCCTTGGCACAGGGCACCCGGGCTGGCCCCGATGGCGCCCCCAGGTCCCTCTTCCTGCACATCTTCAGCCTCACTGCCGCCACCCACACCTGGATCCAGCTGGGCCCCCCTTACCTGAACTATTCTTCTCTTGGGCACCCCGGCCCAGCTCCCAGCCTCTCCCTGCAAACCCAGCAGGACCCATAGCTCCCTGAGCACCTTCTCTTCCACCATCCAGCACGGGGGCACGTGCTCAACTGGCAGATCGCCCACACCCTGCCGCCGTGTTATTCCAGCACAGAGCATTCCCCATGCCGCGCCCCCGCCCCGCGGAGGGCAGCATCCCCACCTTCTGCTTTGCACCTGCTGTGCCCTCTCCGTAGGAGCAGAACATGGAAGGGCCTGGCAGCGTGGGCGGCCGTGACTGCCCCCTCCGCGGGCTGTGCCACGGAGCCCCGGGAGCGCCCGGCCTTCCTTTGCCATCCAGCTGTAATTACATTCTGCTTGTAAAAGCCGGCGATATTAATACTTGACCTACTTCACAGGCTTTTGTGTGGAGGGAATGAGGAGAAAGGTTGGAAATCGCCGCTCAATTCCTCGTGCTCGGAGCAGGGGAGCGGGGTGGGGGGGGGGGGCGGGCGGGCGGGCCCCCCACACTCTGTAAATACCGATGCCCTGACGCCCGAGGGCCAGCTGCCTGCCAAGTTGGGAGGTGATGGAGTCGCCTGGCACTGCCTGGCACTGCCTGGCGTGGCTCGGGGACTGTGCATGTGCGTGTGTGTGTGTGTGTGTGTGTTTGTGTGTGTGTGTGTGCGCGTGCCGCTGTGTGTGGGTGGGGTAGCCTGCAGGAAGGTGTTCAAGTCAGGCTTGGGGAACAGCATCTGCTCTCGCCCTCCAACAGGCAATCACCCCTGAACCTCAGCATCACCTGAGGGGCCCTCAGAGAAGCAAACTTCGGAGCCTCACTGCAGACTCCTGACTGACGCCCCCGGGAGTGGTCTGTGTGTTCCAGGGGTCTCCCCGGACCTGGGTATTGCTCCTGACACCAGTCAGCTCCACCTGAGCTCACTGGCTCCCCTCAGCCTTCCTGGAAGTAGCCCAATACCAGCAGCCCCAGCGTTGCAGAGAGGGAAACTGAGGCAGAGAGGTGCAGGGTAAGTAAATGAGGTGCCAGACTTCTAATTTTTAGTCTGTTTTTTTTTTTTGACTGTTAGGAGCAGAGAGCTGGTACAGTGGTTGAGGTACCCGCCTGGCATGAGGCTGACCCAGCTTTGATCCTTAGCACTACGTAGAGTCCCCTAAACACCACCAAGTGTGGTCGGTCCCCAACCCGGAAAAACAAACAAACAAACATAAAGCCAGCCACTTTTGTCTAAGAAATTGCTCCTCTAAATCCAGTGCTTTACTAAAAAGTGACAGAAAAGGTGACCAGGCTCGGAAGCCCCAAAGCCCTGGTGACCAGACAGAATCTCCCAGCACACTTGGGTCCCAGGGAACTGGGCCTGCCCTCTGGGACGTGCTGGCTGTCCCCATGGAGAAACCTTCACCAGGTCGGCCTCTCCCGCCCCAGTACGCCAGGGCAGCTACCCATGGTCGTGTGCCCCCAGCTCACTCGGGAGGTCTCGGGCCGCAGGAGGAAGGGCAGAGGGCACAGGCAAGGGGGGGGGGGGCACGTCTACCAGTTCCCCGGGTGTCTTCCCTGATGGGAGCCTCCAGCCACACCTTCAGCCTCTGGGAGAAAAGCACCCAGGAAGGGGCCATCATGGGTGACAAAGCCAGGCTGGAGGAGCTCCTCCCCCAGTGCCCTCTCTGCAGCCAGGACAGGAGAGAGAGGTGATGGATCCCCAGGAAAATGACACCTAGCCACGGAAACTTCAAGAATAACCTCGTTGCCTTCCCTGCGCAGGTGCCTCAAGGCCACCTTCTCCGGTGTGGATGCCTGTCTGTCCCCCAGGGCTCGAGATGCCCCCTGCAGCTGCACTGCATCCCACGGGGCTCAGAGCTGGGGCCGGGCTTCTGCCGGCAGTTTCTGGGAGGTGGAAACAGACCCTCGACTCCTCTGGGCCAGGTGCCAGAGAGTCGGGAGCACAAGTGTGTGTGCGTCGTCTGCGTGTGTACACTTGCTCTACACAGACGTCTGCTGTGTGTGGATCGTTGTATCCCTGCGTGCACAGACATGGACTGTGTGAGGATCAGTGTATTTCTGTGTACACACATGGGCTGTGTGTGCATGTGTGCACAGATGTGTGCTGTGCAGTTTAGTGTATCTCTAGGGGCACACATTCTTCATGTGTCCTTTCTATGCATGTATGTTCTTTGTGTGCATGTACGTTCTGTGTGTGTGCATGCTCTATGTATGTGTGTTCTTTTATGTGTTCTCTGTGTGTGCTCCTTGTATGTGTACGTATGTTCTGTGTGTGCATCTATGTCCTCTGCGCATGCTTGCTACAAGTGTCATGCATGTTCTGTGTGCGCATGTATGCTGTTGTGCTGATGTGTGCTTTGGTACTCTGGGTGTGTTCTGTGTGCTGTGTATGATCTACCTGTGTGCTCTGTATGTAGCAGTGTGGCCCCTCTGTGGTCTCTGTGTGTGTGCATACATGCTTTAAGTGTGCCGTGTGGCATGTGTTTGCATGTGCTCCTGGTATGCTCTGTGCATCCTCTTTGCATCTGCTGTGTTCACTCTGCATGGATTGTGTGTGCCTGTCTATTCTCCCTGCACGTTATGTGTGCTCTGGGTGTTCTCTGCTGTGTGCTGTGTGTGTGTGTGCTCTGTGTGCCTATGCTGTGTGCTGTATGAGCTCTGTGCATGCTCTGTGTGCTGTGTTCACTGTGTGTACATGCTGTGCGTTCCGTGTGCTGTGTGCCGTGTGCTCTGTGGGTGTGCGGTGTGTGTGCTCTGGGTGTTGTGTGCTCTGGGTGTGCTCTGTGTGTGCCGAATGTGTGCCCGACAGTGCATTCACAAGGGCAGGAAGTCCCCGTGTCCCTGGTGGGTGGGGGCGGGAGGGGAGGGGAGGGAGGGGCGTGCTACCTGCGGATGGTCCTGAGCAGCGCAGAGCGGGCCTCGTTGTGGAAGGTGATGATGATGCTGGTGGGAGCCAGGTCCCGGCAGTACGTCAGCATGGAGCACCTGCGGAAGGAGAGCCCAGGGCCGATGAGAACGGGCTGGGACCGGGACAGCTGCCTGTGTCTGGTGCCCCGCCTCCAGGTACCCCACATGGCCCTAAGGGGGCACCTAACTGTGCCGAGACACAGACCGAGGTTTCTCGCACCCCGACCAGGGGACTGAGGATCCCATTAGCTGCCCTGGTGCTAGCAGAGCACAGTCCGGGCCAGCAGCTCTGACCAGCCCCTGCCCAGCCCACCCTGACAGAAACCCCAGTCAAACAGCCCTCCAGCCCTCGGCCTAAGCAATCCTGCCCACCCGACAAAAGCAGCCATTTCCCCCATCCAGGCTCATTCTGTGCGACAATTACATCTAGGGTAATTTCAATTTAATACCTCGCTGCAAGTGGAAATTGTAGCCCGCAGCTGAAATCACTAGAATGATGAAAACCAACCCGCTGAGTGGGGCCGGGGCCGCCAGGCCCCTCCTGAGATAAACACGGCCTCTGTCTCGCCGGCTCGGGGGCCTGGGGAGGAGGGCTTGCGAGTGGTCAAGTGCCGTGTGCTGGGTCACCCCGCTTTCCTGTTTCTTCCCAAGTCACTGGGGCCCAGAGCTCCCAGGAGGCACTTGGAGGAGCCCGTGAGTGCCTGTGTTGACTCCCGGGAAGCTGGTTCTCCACCAGATTCCTCCACGGAAGGACATGGCCTGCAGTCCGGGCCTCGCTGAGACAATACTCTCTCCTACAGGAGACAACATAGAGGGACATTCTCTGCACACAGCTGGCCAGTGGTGCCCAGGACCTGGCACGGGCTGGCAGTGGGCCCACTGGGGGCCGGCACTCAGGAGGAGGCAGGAGGCAGGATGCCTCTCCATGGAGAAGAGGCAGGACCTTCGTGACTTCCGGTGTCCCCCTCCCTGCAAGACAGCCCCTGAGCCCAGCCCCGCTCCTCTCTCCTCTGATTCTGCCACTTGAGATTCCCCCCAGGCTCCTGACTTCTGTGTCCTGTCTGTCCCCTTAGATCTTAGGCTGGGGTCCCTCCCGTGGCCCTTCAAATCCAAAGTTGTAACTTCCCCCAGGGCCCTCTAATCCTGCAGCCTCCCAGGCCACCCAACTCTCCTCTCTGCCACTGTTCCCCTTGTCACTTCTGCAGGGAGAAACAGACAGCCTGCCTCCTTCCTCCACCCGAGCTCCTACTCATCCATCAAAACCCAGAGCAAAGGTCCCCTCTGCCAGGAAGGAGCTCCATCCTCCCTAATGGTCATGACCCGACCTTTGTGCTCTCATTCTGTCCATATCTCTCCTAGCACATCAGAGATGAGACAGTTTCCCCAGGTTGGTCTCTCTGGGAAGATCCTTATCCCCTTCCCAGAACTGGAGCATACCACACATACCCGTGGAGATGGGCAGAAAGACATTTCGAGGCCAGCTGAGCCCTCAGTCTCCGAGGACTTGTTGAGGACCGGGCCTACCCTCTCTATGGCTCGCAGCAATTCCCACCTCCTCCTGGCCCACAGGCTGGGCTAGCTTGTCTCTCAATAAGGACAAATTTATCTGCACAGCGGGCTGGTTCCACAGCTCTCACCACACACTGCCAGTCTGCAGTGGCCCCTTGGAGGAAAGCTGCCATGCCGTGGAACTCTCCAGCACTCCTACGGGGAGACACCCACGTGGAAAGGAGCAGAGGCTCTCGCCTGGAGTCAGCACCCCCTCACCCCCCATAGACATGTGACACACCACCTCACGAGATGGCACCTTCAGTCTCCAGCTAGCTGTGCCCCCAGCATTTCCAAAGATGCAATTGAGACACTCCTGGCTCCTGTCCCAGAAGATATTCCTAAATGGAATGTCTGAAGTCACCAAGTTTTGGGGGGTGAAGGCGCTGTAGCATCCACTTATCTACTATAAAATGGGAAGGGAAGGCTTTGCTGAAGGTCCCCAGAGGGGTGTAGCGCTGAGCTGGCCATCTAGGAGCAGAGCTGAGGCGAGCGAGTGCAGGGTGCGGGGCAGGTGGCTGGTGGGGGTGGACTCAGGGCTCCCTCTATGGGCGTGCTGTAGGGTGCAAGTGCGGCTTGGTAAATGCAGAGAGAGGAGGAGGCAGGGAGGTGGCCCCTAGAGGGATGAGTGATGGAGCAGGAAGTTGTGCTTCTGCAGGAAAGCCACCGTGGCCAGGAGCAGCTCCTCCTCCGCCTCTCTGTGCCCTCCCGGCCATGCTTTGCACCCAGCAGAACCTCTCAGTGAGGTCCTGGCTCTGCACCCCTGCGGCAGGAGCCTTCTCTGGGTTCAGACATGATGCTTAGGGGCCAGAGAGAGAGCACCATGGGTAAGGCGCTTGCCTGATTGGTTCTCATCATCCCATTGGGTCCCACAGCACTGCCAGGAATAGCGTCTGAGTGCAGAGCCAGGAGTGACCCCTTAGCATTGCCAGGTGTTCCCCCCAACCCCCAACCCAACCCAACCCAACCAAACCCAACCAAACCCAACCAAACCCAACCCAACCCAACCCAACCAAACCAAATGACGCTGAAAATCATGATGACTACTGCTCCAGCAGTGATGCTTTCTTTTTTCTTTTCTTTTTTTTTTCTTTTTTCTTTTTGGGTCATGCCCGGCAATGCACAGGGGCTACTCCTGGCTCTGCACTCAGGAATTACTCCTGGCATTGCTCAGAGGACCATATGGGATGCTGGGAATTGAACTCAGGTCAGCCGCGTGCAAGGCAAACGCCCTCCCTGCTGTGCTATCGCTCTAGCCCCAGCGATGGTTTCTTAAGAAAGTAATAATCTGGGGAGCTCCACAAGGTCAGCCTGGGGACCTCCACTTACAGAAGAAAAAGGTGGGTGCCTGTGAGAAGGAACTGGGGCTAGGAGCCCATTTGAATCCGTTTGAAAAGAAACAGCTGGGCACTCCAGAATAAGTGATCTTTGCTTTGTCCTCAAGCAGTGGGTCAGTGCTGTCCCCAGGAGGCCGAGGACGGACACTCCCCTCCCAAGTTTGCTTGTGAGGGCAGCGGGTGCTGATGGCTGAGATGGAAACTCACTCAGGTGGGTCACGGCAGCCAGCCTGCAGGGCTCAGGGCTTTGCCATGACCTTCCCAGCCTCTGGCCACCCGCAGGACCAAGGACAGAGGCTCCTCCCGGAGGCGGGCCAGGACACAGACCCCCAAGACACATGGCCCAGGTGTACAGGCTGCAGTACGAGGCTTATGGGGATTTCAGTTACAATATCCATCTCATCTGAACCTCCAACAGTCATGAGTCCTGTGCTCCACGGGCCAGGACCCGAACTCTGAGCCTCCCTGTGGGCTGAGCTGAGCTGGGGGCCCGGGACATCTGACCTGGTCGGTCCTGAGTCCTCCAACTGCCCTGCCCACCAGTCACCTCCTCCCCACCCCCACTTAGGGGTGGGCTGAGCTGAGCTGAGCTGCCGAGAACAGGACTTGAAACAGGGCGCCTTGAGGCGCGTCCATCAGACGGGGCCTTCTGTGCTCAGGATCTAAATGATTCATCAAACGGCAGATCAATTAGGGCACCGGGGACCGGAGGAGTCTGCCAACACTTAGCCCTGGCGCCGGCAGGCAGGAGGGAAAGCATGTTCATAATTTATTAAGGAATTGGGGTTCGCCGGTGAGCGGAGTTGTGATGGGGGATGGGAGGGGGAAGAGAGCAGGAGAGGGAGGGAGACGCTGAGGCGGGGAGAAGGGACGGGTGTTCAAGACAGAAGTGCAGGTGGGCCAAGTTTCCTGGAAGACCACGGTCCCCAAAGATTCACGGGTGGAGACACAGTGGAGGGGGGGCTCAGACTCTTCCTTCCCCATTTCCCACACAGAAGCTTCCCTGTATCTGTGCCCCCTTTCTTTCCCGCTACCAACATCCACCCCCAGGGCCAGTGTGTGAGAGGCAGGGAGAGACGGGCACTGCTCTCGGCTCAGGGAGCTTTCCAGAACACCAGTTCCCTCGGGACAGGGGCAGGGAACTTGCTGCTGGCTTGTAGAAGCACCGATTTTTTTTTTTTTTTTTTTTTTTTTAGAACTGAGAACAGCTCACACATCCCCAGCTCCGTTCCACATAAGGAAGCCTGTTCTCAGCTCTAAAGCAAAGCAAAGCAACCGAAAAATAGGAAATGCCAAATCGGGCACTGGCCCCTGGGTTCAATACTCAGCTCTCGAGAAGAGAAGGAACGCGAGCACGATAAAAAAAAAAAAGTATGACAACTGTAAAATCAGAAATTCCTTTTAATCTCATTTCATGGGCAACATGGATACACTGGGAGGCATGAAATTTTTATTTCATGTCAATTTCCCTGGGATTTCACATACAGATTAATTTGCTCATCCACATAAACAGAGACAGACGGCTTCTACTCGGTGCCTCAGTAATCCTCTTCGTTTAGCATTTCAGAAAAGAGACCGAATCATCCTGAGACGTCTTCTCACATGACCTGCCCCTTTAAATTACCGAACGCTGGTGTAAAGGCCCAGCACCCCCAGACCCAAGGGAGAGTACAGGTGTTAAGGGGTGTGCTTTGCCTGTGGCTGACACAGTGTGGTCCTCCGAGCATCACTAGGGGTGTCCTCACCAATAATGTTCCAAGTCACCGGGATGGGCTAAGTAGGCCAGTCAAGGAAGGGAGCCACTCAAGTTCACCGGGGACAGCTGATGGCCTCTTCCCAACTCCTTGTTTCAGTCTCTTCCCCCCGATGTTGGCAGGACCCTCTAAACTTGCTGAAGAAGCCACTGTGATGGATGTCACACTTGTGTTGGGTGACCAGGGTGTGTGGCTGTTGCCTTACGAACTGGCCAGCTTCAGCTCTGCGTGCTAGAGGACATGTGCAGCGGTTTCTCACTTCCCTGGGGTCAGCGGTCACACTCCCGGGGTACAAGAGGTGGACGGACACCAAAGTCCTTTCCCGGTGTGGCCTCACCTTGGCGGCATCCAGGCTGAAGTTGATTGGGGACCACCAGACCACACATGGGGGCAAGGGGCAGACACGCAGAGCTGGGATTGAACTCAGGGCCTCACACAA